AACAGTTTCAGCAGGCTGTCTACTTTGAACTTTACCCAGAACTGGCAAAGGAAAAGGGTAAGGTGGGAACGGAGCATCTTTTGAGTCATTGGGCCCAGTTCTAGTTTCCATACACTTCCACTCTTTGCCCAAGCAAGGGAGACTAACCCATGGGTAGAGGCACGAGTAGGACTACCATTTGACTTTGTGCAAGTATCATAGCTCATTTTGCTTCAGTTTTCTCAATTGTCAAAAGGAGCGGAGGTGAGGATTAAACGAGGTTCTGTTGTAGAGCCCTTGGCACAGTGGTTGGGACATGTTAAGTCCCCAGGAATATGTGTTAGCTTTTGTTGTCATTTATCAAGTCTGTATTAAATACCAAAGCCTGTGGTAGGCATTTTACCAATAGTCATTTTAATCCTCAACAACAATCCTGTAAAATCAATCTTGATAGTTTCATTTGAGGAGATGAAATCTCAGGGAAGTCAAGTCACGTGTCCAAGGTGAACTGCTATGTGAATGAAGGTGCCAGAATCAAACCAGGTCAGCCTGGCCACAAAGCCTGTGCCATCTTTGTGGTTTGAAGAGTAAACAGTATGTGAGCAGACATCCTTCTGTGTAAATGGGACCAGAGCCATCAGGCTAAACAACTCCCTACACCACGCAGTTCAGGGTAATTCATATCCACTGCGTAAACAGGCCATTCTGGGCAAGAATTCCCTTGTGTCAACTTGCCTGTTCGAGGAATTCTCAGTATATACGTTGGAGCCCAACGAAAATTGAGCGTGAGTCTTGTCTTTCTTGAGATCCCCCCTGAGGGGCTTAGCTAATAATAAACTAAAGGACTTTCCCATGAGGTGGTTGCACCCACGGGACTCTCCCTTTTATCTCCCAAAGGATGACTTTTTGGAATGTTCTGCTACACCTCAGAGTCCCATATCTCCAAGGAGTCAGGGAGCATAGCTAACCCCTATTATCATAGGCTCACTGCCTTGACACCCCTCTTCCGCCCCGTAGTCTGAATGAGCTCTCTCCCCTTTGTTCTCGTGGTACCCCTGCAAGCATCTGTGAGAGCACCTTGTCACATTGCCATTGCTTGTGTCTTTGCCTCTCTTCCCACCAGAGGGAGAGCAGAATGCTATGTCCTACTCACCCTGGAGCCCTAGAATTTATCATACTTCCTAGAACAACAATAATAACTATAGTGTTATCATAGTTGACATTAAGTAAGTACCTACTATATGCCTTTTGAAGTAGGTACTGTTGTGATACTTTAAAGGCAAAGAAACTGAAACACAAAGAAGTTCATTTGCTTCCAGAGTCACAAAACCATAAGAGGTGGAGCTGGATATGAACCCAGGCAATTTGATTCTAGAACCATGCTTTTAACCAGTACTCTGTAATGCCTCCATGTAGTAGTTGCTTAATTAATTAATATTTGTAAATGGATATACATGTGAATGTAGTTGCTGTGTTTTGAGAAGTATGACATGATCTGTGACATATTAAATCTATGCCATAATGAATTATGTTGTAATGAGGTTCTTATATTATTTGGCTTCTATTAATCTGTAGTTCACATCTATTCGTGCTTACACAGGGGAGGCAGTGTAGGGCCATGTTTGTGAGCATGCGTTAGACAGAAAAACAACTTCTGTCTCTACCTTTGGTGAGCATCGCTTCTATGGGCAAGTTACTTATCCTTTCTAGCGTCATTTTCCTCAACTGGAAAGCAGAAATTATAATGGTGCCTATCTCATATGGTAAACTTAGAGTAAATGAAGTAATGTAAGTGAACATATCTGGAACACAGTACTCATTCAAAAAATGTGAGCAGATATTGTTATTACTATTGTCATGAACATTGTTTTTAAAACTTTATAATCGAGAGCACTACTTCCTATCAGTGGACAAAGAGTCCTGAGCCAGTGTGAGTGATTTTATATATATATATATACACACATATATATAATATTGCTGCAGAATGAAGTCTAAAGTCACCAAACTCAGGACAGAGATCTTTCAACCCATGAGGTTCAGAGTTCTGAAAAACATTCCAGAACTAATGTAGCCTTCGTCCAGTATCCACGTCTTTGTCCTATGGTGTACGCTGTATGGTTCAGGGAGACTGGGTGGAGGAGGGAGCCAGGGGTGTCCATGGTCAGTACCAGCCATCTGATGAATAGTGGCTTCTAGGTGAGCAGTTGGTTCAAAGGTCGAGTGGACAGATATATAACAAAGGCTGTTAGGAGATCATGAGAATACTGAATACCTAATAGCTAACAAGAGCTGCAATGTATTGTTCAGCTGGCATTGAACATGGCACACACTAGAGACTCATTTATTCAACAGTGTTTTTGAGCCAGGCACTCTTGTAGGCTCAGGAAATCAACAATGACCAAAACAGGTAAAGTCTTGAATAAGCAGGTCCTTTTAGACTTTATATGCATCATCTCCATTCACAGTCATCGTAACAATACTGTGGTGTAGATAATACCATTTCCATTTGAAAGATGAGGGATCGAGGCTCAGAGAAGTTAAATACCTTGCCTAAGGCTTCATAATTGGAACGTGGTGAACCTAGGATTTGAATCTAGGTCTTTGTGATGCTAAAGTCCATTCTTTAGCCGCAATGTGATACTGCCTATCAAGGAAATAGCAAATGCTGGGATTGTGTGTGTGTGTGTGTGTGTGTGTGTGTGTGTGTGTGTGTGTGTCAGAGGGGAGGGGCATGTGTTAATTCAGAATTCTGTCTAAGTAGCTGTCATTGTGACAGAGCAGTAATTGTGATCGTCATCGATTGGCAAAACACAAGACGCTTTGGTTGTTACTTCTGTTCTTGAGCTCAGTCTATCATTTTATTGCTTCAGATCAAAATCAATATGTACTTGGCTGCCCTCAACAGAGAGAAGAACTTTTATACTTAGGTTGATAACTAGGTAGAAGCTCTGAGACCTAGTGGCTCATTCCCAGGCATGCCTGCTTCGTAACTCCTGGACAAGGAGCATGAACAATGCCAGCGGGCAGCATGCCTGTGGAGATGGTGTCCAAACCCAGGGAGCTGGTGCACAAACTTTGTTCAGAAAGGGTGAAATGCTGTGGTCCCTCCAGGGCTGGGGGAGCTGGTGCCGGGAGTAGTTAGTAGACTGCTGGCTCCTTTGTTTAGGACTCTTGCATGCCTCTTCTCCGTGGATTTGGAAGGAAGTTTCAGAGGCAGCATTTCAAATGCCACGGAAAGAAAGAAGGGGCGGGGTAGTTGGTCACTAAAGTGGGGCATAACGAGCCCAAAAGTAATGCTCTGCTCTGGATCAGGGTCTTGGTGGCCTCATTTTGTTTCTAGGGGATGCTATTGTTTCTACGAAGCACAGCCACTTCTTAGCTTTACAAGTCTGCTCCTTCAATCTGTCAGTTCAGAAGCTGTTCCATTGCTGTCCGATCCCATCAACATAAATCCACAGTGCAAGGGTCGTGCTGTCAAGTGGGAAGGACTTTGTAGTGGGACATCAGGAGACCCGGATTCCAGCCCTGGCTCTGCCCTAGCTTGCGGGAGGACCCTAGACAAGTGCCTTCGCTCCTCTGGGCTTTCCTCTTCACACACATGAAGCCAAAGGAGGAGAACTAGATGTTGATGTTTCCTACGATCCCTTCTGGCTTGAAAGTTGTGAGATCACCATCTGATACTTGCAGCCTTAAGATGTCTTCTTAATTTTCATGATCTGCATTCAAAACTGCATTTTCTGCCCCTTTAGTACATCATTCTTTCTATTGCTTCAAAGCCCATAGTGCTGGTTTTGAATGTCTGATAGCTATTTATTAAATTAGTGAATAACTGTAGGAGGAAATAATGAATGAATACAACCACTGTCAACACGCTAGTGTCACATCCAGACTCGGGCTCTCTGTGTTTCAGTATGGGTTGCTGGGGGGATTGAAATACCTAGGATGGAGCATTGCAGTGTTGTGGACACATGGAAATCCGTCTCCAACTACCATTGCCCACTGCTGCTGTTATAATTTTGTGCCTCATTTTCTATAAATACGAGATAGTGTGCATATGATTTTGTAATGTTTTCTCAATAATAAGATTTTTTTATGTCACTAATAGTCTCTTCTTTAATATTAATGGCTGCATCCTTTTCTATTACAGAGTTGACAGTAGTTTGTTTAACCAGTCCCTTACTCTGATACATAATATTTGTTCAACTTTTTCCATATTATAAGCAATATATCTAAATATTCTAATTTATTTTAAAAAGACAGTGCTTTTGTAACAGGAAAAATGTTTTCAACAAGAAATACTCATCTCATGGCACTATCTATCGACCCTGACTATTAAGCTAAAATGGTAGAGAAGTCTGTGTAGGAAGGTGAATACGGCAACTGAGGACACACCAGCTTGGCCGACCACATGCAGAAACTCAGTGATCACCATCAGTTACATTGTCGTTGAGTGAGAGGAAAGCAGTTTTCCTAAATCCAAAGCATTGCTCCTTTCCCGTCTGGAGCAGAACTAGGGGAAGATGTGGGGCTGGGGCATATGGGAAGAGGATCCAGCCAGAGACCGGAGGCCTGGGCTTGAAGCTCCTGTCTGCTTTCTGGCCCCAGGCGAGGAGCTTACCTCTCTGGACCTTGGTTTATCTTTCTATGCATGCGAATATTAGTAGGATTATTAATATCACAGGCTTGGAAGATGGAAGCAGGGGAGGTTGTGAATGTAAAGTGAAATAGTAGGTATAAGATTAATTGGAAGCTTGAAAAAGTCAGTGTTGTAGAGAAGCGGATTGTTGAGAACATGGGGTCACTAGTTCTCCTCTCTGAAACATATCTATAGTTCACGGTGGTTTTTGAGAAAATCCTTACCGTATCCACCACCACTGTTAAGTGGGAGCAAAAGCAGCAATTCAATCCTCTACTATTTGCATGGCTTTTTATTTTTAATCCTTGCCAGATGTAGACTGGCAGGGAGCCCAGAGAGTGAGCACTTTCGGATAGAGGTACTTTTGTTCTTGTCTCCCTTCTAGACAAAGAATTTTTGAAGGAAAAGGAGAAGTTAGAAATGGAGCTAGCAGCAGTGCGGACTGCGAGTGAGGACCATCGGAGACACATCGAGATCCTGGACCAGGCTCTGAGCAACGCCCAGGCCAGGGTCATCAAGCTGGAAGAGGAGGTGAGACCAGGCGGTGGGGATTGTGGGTGGGGGCAGAGCCCACAGGGCCTCCACATGCTTTTCCTAACTCAGCTGCTTTAATCAGAGCCAATTCCAAGGAGTCGAAACAGGAGAGGGATGTGGGAAATCTCCCAAATAAAAATGAATAAAAACAGACTTTATCTATCCAGAGCCAGGCAAAGTATGAAAGGCACACATGAGTGCCATCAGCAAAGGGCTCGCCCTCAGTCTGAAGCCCAGCCTATGGCTCCCTGGTTGGCAGGTGTCCAGGACTGGAAATAAATGGAAGGACTGGAGACCACTGGTGCCTGTAGAGAAAGAGACTAACAATCTTTAAAACATAGTTCCAATGCTGTGTCTTCGGATTCTCAATTGTGTAGAAAAGGCAAAAGTCTTCTGATGGGGGAGGGGTGGAGGTGGTGTTCCTCAGATCTGTCTCCAATTTCCAGAAGTTGGCTGAGCCATGCAGTGACCCCCTATCCAGGAAATTGTGATTCCACTCAAGCGTTATAGGTTTAGTAGTTTCTGATGAAATCAACCCTTTCGCCTAAGTTTTATGAGGTAGACTTTTCTGTTAACCCTGACCGAGGAATTAGAATGACCATGTCTAAGGCCCAGGCTAGGGGTTCTAGGCTGCAGATGCAGAGGCAGAGAAGGCAGGAGGTCTAGCCGGGCAGACAGGAGCCTGCTGCCTCACCTCCCAGCTTCCTGGGGTGGCGGCAGGTGCCTCTGTCTTGGGGGCTGAAGAAGCTTAACTGAGATAGTCTACATGAAGTACTTAGCTTGGTGCTTGGCACACAGAAAGCAGTACTGTTATTAATCCAACTGTTGTCCCTTCAGAAAACATCTCCTGATGCTGGGTAACTTGGATGTCTCAGCAAACTTCAACTGCAAGGATAAAGCCACTAAAGAGGAAGATTGTTAAGTAAACAAAGACGTTGCCCTTTAGAAGCCTTTAAACCCCACAAGTTCTGTGTAGAAACTGCAATTTTAATATTAGCTTGAGGATGCAGCCCCACGGTACTTTCCTTGTCACCCCGAAGGAACTTACGAAATGTGAAAATATCCACCACAGAAAGTGACCTCAGCCCCTAAAGGCGGGAGGTCCGTCTGAGTCAGGGAGGCAAGGGCCCCTCAGTGTTGTTACCACTGAAACCACTTACTGAGCTTGCACCTCCATGTGTGGAATGGAGAATTATGATTTTTAAAATCTTTTAGTTTTAATGTTTCTATTAAAGTAAAAATTAGTTGTGAGCTCCTTGAAGATAGGTTCTTTATAATCACCACTATGGGTCTTTTCTTGACATTTTATTTATATAAAATCTTTGGTTGGTTGAATGTAGCCTCTCCAAAATGCCTCGTGTGTCTGGCTTCCAATATCACTCCTTATTCTTATTAAAGTTTCTTTTGACCAGCCTTAATTCAATTCAGAGGCTAAGTGCTTCCCATAATTTACCGTGGTGGCTAGGAATGGACTCTAGAGCCAGACTGCTGTAAATGAGAACTCTGGCTCCATGTCCTGCCAGCTGAGCAAGTCACTTAACCTTGAAGAGTTTTCTCATCTCTTAAATGGAGATAATACAGGACTTTACCTCTTACTGTTATTGGGAAGATTAAATGAGATAATACATATAAAGCACAGTGCTTGGCATGGTAGTGCTCTGAAAATGTTGGCTGATAAAATTACTCATATTAATCCTCCTCAGCATGGTATACACCTTGCTAGACTTAAGGTTAATACAAAGATAAAGGAGACAGATTCATGCTTTTAAGGATCTTGCAGTTTCTTCGGGGTAATATTAATTCACACGTTTCACAAATTCTATTGAGTGCCTACTGGATGCAGAGCACTATTCCAGGCACTGGGGACACACTGTTCCCTCTGCCCAGCAGAGACCAAAATAGACAAATTTCATGCTGCTTATGTTCTGGTGGCTACACATTCAGAAAACTGGATACAGTGGAGGATATAGTAAGTGGTGGATGAACACAAAATATTTGATCAAATGACACTTCTGAGAAGCACAGAAACATACACTTAGGTCCTGAAGTCTGTTGAATTGAGCAATCAGAGGGCCAGATGAAATTCAGTTCCAATAGCAGATAGAGAAAAGTCTGGAAAGTTGCAGCCCCCTCCTTGAAAGGTCAGAAGCATCTCCGTTTGAGTCCAGTGGCTTTAGGTAGGACAGGATATAGGCACAACTCACGGCAGTGCTGCCTGCTAAGTCAGAAACCGCACTTAGCAGCAAGCTCTCAAATCACCAGCGTGTTCCAACTTGCCAGTGTGAGCATGGGCTGAACTCAGCACTGAATCACCTGCAAGGCCTCTGCACACCCAGGTGCAGAATGACAGGAAGTAGCATCTGGTGTCTTCGCACCCAGGACCAGAGCAAGTAAATGCCTCAGCCAGATTTTTGGCACCAGCCAATTCCCAGAAAGTTAGAAATGTGCTCAGGATTTATGAACATGGGCCAAACTCCTAATTGGAAGAAAACAAAGTCTGAGGGTAAGAGTTTGAAGTTGTTCAGGATTCTAAATCCATACCTGGTATGACCTTTACATAAATTGTTTGAGCTTTAATTTCCATCTCCTCAGTTATTGTGCTGTTTGAGTATTTGTTATGCCCTTCCTGTCTCTTCAGGGCTGTCAACTACTCATCTGTAAGGGACTTTGAAATCTTAAAGAGAAAATTACTCCATAAATATCCATAATAAAAAATTTTTGTATTTATTCAAACATACACAAATGGGTACACATGCATGTATACATTCACACATACTTTATTACAAGAGTAATTTATATTTATTATAGAAAATTTGAAAAATACAGAAAAGAATAAAAAAGCTGTTTTTGTCATATAGATAAACATGATTAATGCTTTAAGTATTTCCTTCCAGTCTTTGGTTCATGGATAACTAGGTAGATAGGCAGGCAGACAGAAGTTGTGATAATGTTGTATATATATTTTGGTTCTGGACTTTTCATTTAACATTATAGAATAAGCATTTCTTCATGATATTAAAAATTCTTTAACTTCATTTCCCTTGCCTTCGAATGCAGTAATTAAGCAATAACCAAGCATTGAGCTCAAAGCTGTACAGATTACCAAAGGCAGGTGTCCCAGTGAGGTCTTCAGTTCCAAACATTTGAGGTATAGCTGATGGCTTCTGTGTAAATCTTTTCTGTCCCAGCACACCTGCGAGATAGAAATAGGGTGGTAGAAGGTACATGCACCTGTGGTTTAAATAGGATCCCCAGGTAATCTGACCCCGACCTGCACCCCAGCTTTGAGAATCACTGGGCTAAATTCTATGCTGTTTTCTACTCTCCTCTACTCAGTTACGAGAGAAGCAAGCATATGTGGAGAAAGTTGAGAAGCTGCAGCAGGCCCTGACCCAGCTACAGTCTGCATGTGAGAAGCGGGAGCAGATGGAGCGGAGGCTGCGGACCTGGCTGGAGAGGGAGCTGGACGCGCTGAGAACGCAGCAGGTGAGTGTTTGGGCGTGGGCCGGCAGAGGAATCGGATGCGTTCATTCAGCAGACATGTGGGGCATCCACCGAGAGCCAGGCACTGTGGTCTGCACAGAGGATGCAGAGGGAAACAAGAACTCCTGTCCTCAGTGAACCCCATGGCAGCCAGTGGAGGAGTTGGGCCGTCCACTTGCTATGGAGTGACAGACGTCCTCACAGAGAGAAAGCAGTCACTGACTTGGGGCTGGGGAGAGGGGAGTGTGGCTTTAGACACTTCACAGAGGAGATCTTTTGAGCGGGACTTTGAAAGCTGAGTTTCTTGAGCACTCAGGAGCAAGAACATCAGAGGTGGAGGGAGGATATATGTAGAGGAGAGGGCTGTGAAACAGCATGGTGAGTCCAGGGCGGCGGAGTGCAGTTAGTTAGGGGAGGATGCCAAGGAGGTGGCTGATGAGAAGGCAAGGGCCAGTTCGTGGAGGGCATTTGGTCAGGTTGAGAGGTGGGGATTTCTCCTGTGGTCCACGGAGCACCAGCTGCTGGGAGGCGTTTAAGCTGCAGAGAAATACGGTGCAAGGGATTGGGGAGGTGCCTCTGGTGGTGTCAGGGTACCGTCGGAGGGTGGACGTTGAAGTCAGAAGCCAGCCTGAAGGCTGTCAGAGCAGTCTCGGGTGTCGTGACAGTGGGAACCCATAGAGGATTGGAGGCAAGAGCTATAAGGGAGTGAAATTAGCAGGACATGCTGATCAGTGGGTTTTCAGAGGTAAAGGAGAGGAAGGAGTTCAGGACCATCCCCAGAAAATAACGTTAGCCATAAGCTCCTATTCCTTCTGCCTTTCCTTGTCTGCTGGTGATGTAACTCAGCTGCGAGTAAGCACAGAGTGAAGCACGGTGGGGGCCATGTGTGCCACACAAGCGGGAGGAAGACTGGTCAAAGGTGCCTGGCTCCAGGCAGCCCGTCCATCATCAGCCAGCGTGATGGGCAGAGCCCCTTATGCAGCTGATGAAGGGTGTGCTCTAAATTAGGATACCAGGGAGACGCTAGGCAGGGCTTCATGGAATTATCTACCAGATAGGGCATAGTGGCTGTGGTTGAAACACTTGAAAACACTTGAAGGCATGCACTCAGGCCAGCGCAGCCCTCTTGCAGGGCAGGCCCGTGTAGTTCCCTCTGGGTGTGTGCGCTTGGCTGGGGAAGGAGGTATTCGTGAGATTGCCCTGAAAACTAAGAAACCCACCCCAGCCTCCCATCATGTTGGCTTAGTTGATATCTCGTAAGGAAGGGTGGGTCTGTCTCTGGACTTCTGATATTTACAATCCGTGCCACATATCCTAGCACTGGAGTTACGCCCTTCAGCTGTTCTCTGTCACTCAGTTCTTGAGATCTTAGCTTTCTCAACTTGCGGGCAGGGCTCCCCTGGTTCCAGGTACAGTGCTGGCACACAGCAGACACTTACAAGTCTTTGGCTGACCAAATGGACACATCTCCATTCTTAGAGCAAAAAAGATTGTTCTTTTCCAGTTACTATGCCATCCACACCCTATGGTTAGATTACTTCTTGGCTGGTCTGTTTTGAGATCTGTGAAACCAGACTCAATTCCATTACCCTTGCTGCATATCAAGAAGAAAGATGAAATTAGAATTATTTGAAAAATATCTTAATTGCCACAGAGGACAGGTCCCTGTATGCATACTCAGACCCATGCACACTTCCCCACGTTTTTTCCTCAGACAGGCAAAAACAACATTCCTGCTGTGCGTGAAGGCTGCTGACAGATTTGTGCACCAGTGGGGAACAGAACTTTCAGAGTTGAGGTCTCCAGGGAAATTACTCTGTTTGCATTTTGGATTTGTCTTTGGGAGCTGATAGCAGTCCCAGCTGTGGATGGCTGACAAGAGACTGAAGAGGGAGACAGTCTCTAGAGTTAAATAGAACTGTGATGCTTAGCATCTCCTTAAAAATAGTATTACACTTTTTTTTTTTAAACAAGAACATTAATCCATCACCTGTGATGTGAAATACACTCAGGGATTTTCCTGTTGCTCTATGTACTCATCAAAAAGATAAGTCCAGGTTGAATATGCCTTATCTGAAATGCTTGGGACCAGAAATGTTCAGATTTTGGATTTTTGGATTTGGGATTCTCGACATGTATTTTTTTTCTTTAATGCTTGTTTATTTTCTAATTTTACCAGTGAGCACACATGATCTTATAACCAGAAAAGGAAAACATGTTATTACAAAAAAAAATGCACCCAAAAAATCTTGAGTTTTTCACTAGCTCCACGTGACAGATACTATAAAGGATAAAGTCTGGTCAAATGCATGTCTGGAGCCTGTGGGCTAGTGTGGGAGGCAGCTCCGCCTGCCTCACCAAGCACACAGAGTCATCTGAGGAGCTTGACTTCTCGGGGAAAGGGTGTCCAGGGCCTCTCTGATCTCCTCCCCTTCATTCACCCTCGGGCAGCCTCGTGCGTGTGCCTGCCCCTTCTTGGCACAGATGTGGGCAGCCCCAGGGAAAGACTTCCACAGGCCAAGCTATTCCCCGTCCCCTGTGTCAAAGAGGCATTTATCTGACCCCTTTAGAAAGCACGCTGAGGTCACACTATCACAAGGGCCTGGTCATCTCTACCCTCAACAAAACAGGAAGACCAACCACACTGCCTTGTCACATCCCATAGGGCATTATTCTTTGAGAGAGTAGCTTAGAGAACTTGTTGAATCACCCCACACAAAGGCTCTACCCATAGACTGAGGCCAAGACACAGCTGAGCCTCTTTATCTATCCCCCTCCAACACAGAGCCCCTGGGTGAGGTGCCCTGGACTGTTAGAAGGGTGGGTATGCTGGGGATGAGCAGAGTGGCGTGGAATTGTATACTGATTCGGAGCATGGGCTCTAGGGTTAGACCAACCAGGGCTGAATCCTGCGTCCTCCTACCAGAAAAGCAGCCTTGGGTAAGTAATCTTTCCGAGCCTCTACTTCTTGTCTGTAAAGTGAGGCAGATAAATTATACTTATCTCACACTTGTAACTACAAACAAGAAAGTCTACACAAAGTGCTTATCAATCACCTTGCTAAACTTAGCAAATTGCTAAGGGAGAATAGCTCTCATTGCTTTTCATATTCCCATCAATACCCCTAGAGTCATGTGAAGGCTTAGGGCATTCTTGATACCCTCTCCCCAATTCTGGCCTTAACCCCACTATTCCAGTCCCACTGAAAAAATGTTGAAAGAAGTGTGGCTGATTAAAGAGGAGGGCGGAGAGAGAAAGATAGGTCAGGACAATAGAACTAGCAGAAAAGAGAAGCTCTCAATGAATAATTCCTGTTATTATAAGTAACCTCTCCTCTACCATGGGAGCTAAAGTAATACTTCAGCGTCGTAGGAAACTGGGAGAGAAGTGAAAGAGAAATAAAGATAAAAAAGGGAGAGGAATTTGCATTTTTAAGAACTCACAATTTCATCTTTACAAACAGCTCAAAGTAATTTTCACATCTTACTTCCACAGTAGTCCTGTAAAACAGAAGAGAGAAGGTTCTTGAACAATGTTCTTGAAAAGGAAACTGAGGCACAGGGAAGTTAAGGGGCCAGCCATGTAGCTGATTAGGACACTCCTCCCACGTGAACACACTGAGTGCAGAGATGTTACCTGTTTTGCTCACTGTTGCATCCCGGCACATGGTACAAGCTCGGTAAATACTGGCAGAAACTGCCCATCTGCCCCTCAATTTGTTTTTCTGGTCTAACACTTACCCATTAGACCATGCTGCCTCTGTACCCTTGAATGCTGACATTCGTGCGTTTGTTTAAATAACTCTTAATGACCTGAATTAAGGAAGCTGTGAAGAGTTGTCATGATCTCATGTGAGGTCAAGAGGATTCTGCAAAAATAAGCCAGCTGAGATGGTAACAGAAGGGATTTAGATAGAAATTGACAAGCATAGATGGCAGCTTAGTGAGGCCGTGGGAGCTTTTTCTGGGAAAGTTTCTAAAAATAGGGGAGCTTTTCATCTCGGTGGACCGGTTCATTTGTCCTCTCGCCTGAGTTCGGGTGCCTGGCCAGATGGGGTCAGTGACTTCCTGTATAGGTCAGGTGAGGACAAGCAAGTGCTTTATACTGTGTTCTTACTTAAATGTTGGTCACTGGCAAGCTTCCATTTGCTAGAATAATTTATATTTGTAGCTATAAAAAATTGAATAGAAACATATGGTTTACAACAGGCCTATGCCTGTTGTTCTCTCTGGTAGGACTAGATTCCATTAGTGCAGCTCAAATGCCCAGTTGTTGCTGTGCATAATTCCTCAATCCTTTCCTTAATCTAGGGCATTATGTGGTTCTGGGTATAGCATTTACAGACCTCTCACCTTGCACCCAGCTCTGCCTTTTAAATTTGCAGTCACTGGAAAACAAGAGGGGAATGTGCATCCAGGGGACATAGAATAACTAGGATGAAATCATTCTCCCCTCAGGTGCGAAGGAGCCTGTCATGCTAGGACTGGGCCCCTGGCCCTGAGACCCCAGCATGACCTGTCTCCGCTGCTGGTCTGAAGTCAGAACCCCCTCAAAACCCCATCGTCCTCTACGCCATGCTCTTTAGAGGAATTAGTGTCCCTGAGTTAAAGGAAAACCCTGAAGTGTGAATATCTCAGTTTGTGAGCAATCCAGATAACAGCCGCTTTTTTTCTCTTACTGATGAAAAGGGCTGAAAAGTGAGCTTGCCTTGCATTAGATGCCCTCTGCTTTCAAGTGTGGTGGGTATTAATACCTCCTTTCCCAGACTTGCACCTAAGGAGCGTGCAAGTTAGGGCATCTCCCACTTCTTTTGCCTTTCCATTTTTTCCCCCAGCCCCAGGGGAAATAAACAACTGGAATCACTTCCTTGAATTCTGAAGAAAGTATCTTAGACCAGGAGGCCAAGACTTAATTCCTGTTCTTGCTTTAGGTATAAATTAACTGCAAGACACTGGACAAGCCTCTTCTTGTCATACAAACGCCTTGAGCTGTGGAGCCAGGCCAATCTGGGTTTGAACCCTGACCCTACTACTGATTAGCTGACAGACATCGATCCATTCTTTTAACCTCTCAGAAACTTGGTTTCTCATCCATAAAAGTGTCTGTTTTGCAGAGCTCCATGAGAATTAAATGTGATAGAGGAGTTTGAAGGTGAAGTAGCATGGTATTAGAACCCCTTGCATTCGGGTTGCATACCTTGCGAAGAGGGAGCAAGGGCGTGAGGATGCTACAGGAGTTGGGGGGCCATGTGCGTGCTGTGTGGGCAGCTGTGCAGACAGGGTTGATGCAGTTTTGAGCATCAAGATGCTATTTCTGCTCCCCTAGAAACATGGAAATGGCCAGCCAGCCAGCGTGCCGGAATACAACGCTCCGGCCCTCATGGAGCTGGTGAGGGAGAAGGAGGAGCGGATCCTGGCCCTGGAGGCCGACATGACCAAGTGGGAGCAGAAGTACCTGGAGGAAAGCACCATTCGACACTTCGCCATGAATGCTGCGGCCACAGCTGCAGCCGAGAGGTGAGATGGCGGAACCCTGGTGGTCATAAAGGCACAGTGGGAAAAGAAATCAAAACAAAACAAACAGGGTGTCTAGAGAGGGCCAGAGGCCTCCCCGGGGAGTGAGGTCAGCTACAAATGATTTTTCAATGGCTGTATTGCTAGTCAGAGAGCAAGGTGATACAGCAATTCTGAAGGGAATTTGGTAATGTGTACCTTCCCTTTGATTCTAAAATTCTAATTCTAGACATTTATCTTAAGGAAATCATTATATAAGTGCCTGAAGATTTATGTCTGAGGATGTTTGTCTCAGTGTTGTTGAAAATACTAATACATTTAAAACAGCCCAGAGTCCAACAAAAGGAAGTCCAATTTAAAGTACATCCATACAGTGCAATGCTGCGTGATTGTTAAAAAAGATGTTGTGGAAGTTTTTACCTCTTTTGCCTAACTTTCTTTTTATAGGTACACAGCGTTACTCTTCCCTTAAAAAGTAGGCCAAGGCTGGGTGCGGTGGCTCACGCCTGTAATCCTAGCACTCTGGGAGGCGGAGGCTGGCGGATCGTTTGAGCTCAGGAGTTCGAGACCAGCCTGAGCAAGAGTGAGACCCCATCTCTACTAAAAATAGAAAAATTAGCTGGCCGTGGTGGTGCGCAACAACTAAAAATATATAGAAAAAATTAGCCAGGCATGGTGGCACATGCCTGTAGTCCCAGCTACTCGAGAGGCTAAGGCAGAAGGATTGCTTGAGCCCAGGAGTTTGAGGTTGCTGTGAGCTAGGCTGACACCACGGCATTGTAGCCTGGGCAACGGAGTGAGACTGTGTCAAAAAAAAAAAAAAAAAAAGTAGCTCAAAATGCAGAGTAACTCACATTCTTTTAAAATATTAATATATTGTTGTCTGAATGAGCAAGGTAGTTTCCTCTTGACCTTTGGTTGCTGCTGGATCTCAGCTCAGGTGCAAAATTTAGGGTCAGGTAATATTCTCAAATGTCAAAGGAGCAACCAGAAAATTGGACTTCTTGATAAATAAGAGCTATAGTTATACCATTTGGGATGGTAGGACATGAACGAAGTAAGAGGAGAATAAGCCACATGGCCTTGGGAAGAGTTATTTCCTTAGTGAATACAACAAGGCCTGTTGGGACGGAGAGGGAATGCATTATAAGCTATGTGTGGGCTCTCAGGTTCATTACTCAGATAGGAAAGAACCACCAGCAGTATGCCCAGGTGTTGCTCTAGGAATTGCAGAAAGCAGTGCCACCATGCGGGCACCTGCACTGGGCGCCATAGCACTCTTGCACCTAGGAAGACCTGTAGACCAAGTGGAAAATAATCATTTTATAATCATTTTCTAGTGCTCACATATTCCTTATGCATGTCTGTGCTATGAGGGGAAACAGGCCACAGTAGTCATTTGAGCGAGACTTCGGGCGTAGGAACAGACGCTTGAGATGGATGTTTTGTGGCAAAGCTTTGGAGCCGTGGGGTGAGAGTTGGAGGGAAGTTGCAGCCTCCAGTTCGGTCCCTGCACTGTATGGGTGGTAATGGGGATCCCGTTGGAACATTGGTTGATTTTTTTTTTTACATAACTGAAATGTTTTTATTTTCAATTTTTTGTTTTCTAAGCTAATAACTAGATCACCTCTCTATCCTGGAGAGGAGAACAGACCATCATAAAGTTCCAGAGACATTTGGCCTTCTTTGCCAGATCTGATCTAATGCATCGCTGTCCATGATGGCCCTGGGAGTTTCCTTTCTCCGTGTGATTTTAATGGGAAAAACACGGCTTAGGGAGGCAAGACACCTACACCCAAGGCTCCTCCCTCTGTCACTGGCTGTGGGTGTGTGATCCAGAACAAGCCCTTCTGAGTGTCACTTACTTCCCATGTGAAATGGAAATGATACTTATGGGTGGGTTAAGAGCAGGGAACCTAACCACATGCCTCTGGCTGAGGACACTAAAGCACCAACAGCAGTGTGAATTTGTTACCTTGGTGGGATGACAAAGGGGCCTCCATGTGTCATTGTTGTTTCAACTTCCATTGGTTTATCAGATTGGATATCTGTTTGGGCTCCCAGGCCCTGTGGGGACGAATGGGCCTGGAATGTAAGATCAGAAGAGCGGGATGGGCAGGTCTGAAGCATAGACTCTGTGGTGGGCACAGGAGAGGGTGGGGGGAGTAGAACCAGGCAGACCCCAAACACAGTCACCCCCCCACACGATTCCAGACCCAGCCTTGCTCTTCATCCTTCATGCACTGGGAAATGGCTCTTACCCCAGAGAACAGGAGTTCCATGGGGTTTACCCAGTCCTGTTGTTCCCCTTCTCAACCCTTTCTGGAATCCTGGATGGATGCCTGCGGTCCCTTTCCATCATCCCTCCCTTTCTCTGCTTCTTTGCTTCCATGTATATTTATTGAGCATCTACTAATTCTATGGGAAACCACCTTTCTCTTTACCCATCCCACAGTCTGGGGGTGGGGGAGAAATAGGTTCAGAGAAGCTCAGATGTTTGGCTCCAGTCTAAATGTTCTTTTCAGAGAAAACCTCTGTAATTTCAGCATTGCTTTTCTGTTGATAGTAAGAGAAAAAAGGAAAATGAAGCATTTTTAAGAATGGTTGGAATTTTGAGCTCTTACTGTCTAGCTGCTAAATGGCTGCAGATAAACTGGTAAAAATGACTATTTCCAGCCATTAGTTTTGTGACTTCTCAGCCACAGATGTATACTTCACATTTATAAGCAATGATTTTTAAACAAAGAAAATAATTTTTGCACACCAGCTGGTTTTGCCATCTTTATGCAACTTGATGCTGTTAATCAGAATGTTTAGAGATTGAGCTAATTTTTTATGTGTGGGAAAGGTTTTTAAAACTTTTTACGAATTTCAAAGCAGTGTATTATTTTTCAAATTTTTATGTGTTTGCTAAGTTGTTTTCATCTAATTGTGTATGTCATCCTTACTTGGCAGTATAAACACGAATTTTTAAATTTGTCTCCAGCTCCATGTGCATTCTCCAGAAGCAAATTGGTTGAAACTGTTTCTAGCCTCTAATTACTGTATTGATTATTTTTTGTGCCCCATAGGGTGAATTTATAATTTTATAAATATGTTGAAAGCATTTTGCTTGCTTTCTACATCATTTGGCTTTTTTGATACATCTTCAGCCACAGTTTGCACTTTTTTGTGCCATGTTCTCACATATGCCCTCTTGTGCGTTTATTTTATCTTTATGCATTTGAGGCCTTCATAAAGACATGAAACCTCCAGGAGTGTAGAGTGATGGTTAAGGGCATGTAAGGGCATGGACTTTAGAGTTGTAAATGTCTAGGTTTGAATCCATTTCCACCATTCACTAACTGGGTGCTCCTGGAAAAGTCACCTAACTGTGGTTAGGTGAGGATAATATCTGTAAGCTGAGGATAATAATACCTACTGCACAAGTTGTGAGAATCAAATGTGTCCTACCCAATATTGGCTGCGTGAAATCAATGGCCATTGAATGACAGCTGTTGTTAAAAGGGGTGAAAGAAGGGCCTCTTTTTTGCTGTCATGGGATGTTCTAGAAAAGAACTTTAAGGTTTTCCGTATGATTATAGCATTGGAATGTGAAGTTAAAGAGATGCAAAATATTTGGCTACATCATGTCTTACTAATTTAGTACTCACGTAATCAGAGGAATTATTGTGCCTTTCATCTTAAATATACTTAATTTCATTCATGACACAGTTATCTTATTTTTACTAATCATTGTTAGTTAGGAGTAATTAAATTGACAAAACCAGAGGCAGCAATAGCTATCTTTGACCAGTTGCATTAACTCAGACGGCTGCTTGCAGGTAACCTGCTCCTTACCTACATCTGCCCCTCCCCTCACTGCACCCACCTTGACTGAACTTGTCTAGGACAGAATATCTGTTGTCTTCATCTTTCTGCCCTGGGACCCAGCGTGTTTGTTACACTGAACTAAACTGAATCCTAGGCGGGGCCCATGAAACAAGAATATAAATGTGAAGGAAGACTTCGGATTGGAGCCTCGCTGTCTGGGAGACCAGTGACCAGTCTCAGTTTCAAGTATTTGCTCAGCCCCCATTGTACTGTAAAATACTGAGATAGGTGCTTGATGGGTGATAAATAGAAATAAAACTTTAACTCTGATTAAAAAAGTGAGATAGGACAAGTATGAAAAGGTACAAGCAAGGAAATATCAACAAATATATTAATAATGATAGTATTCATATGTTAGTAGATGAAATCTGTAAGTGCCTGGTTGACATAGTCATAACATGCTACATAGCTTAATACACAATGTTGTCAGTAGAAGGGGCAGGGGACTTTGATTTTTGAATTTTATTTTGTTTTCCTTAGATACTACCTGGATTCTATCAAGTTTAGGAAGAGAATTGGCCAGGATCTAGGAGGGGAAATGTAAGTGAAGAAGTCTGTGGAGAGATATTTTTAGCCCTGTGCCCTGTGGTTGCCTCTCCATGGGCATTGGTACCATTCTCAGTATCAACATCGGATGAGATTGAAAACTGAGCTGGGTAAATGGGGAGGGGCTTTTAGGAACCAGTAGGAGGTGCAGAGCAGACTGTTCCAGCACAAACACGAGCCTCTCCATTCTGAGTCTGTGTGCGATGAAACAAAGCAAGAAGTCTTCCCTTGATCCAATGTGTGTCCTATGTTGCCAGGGACACCACGATCATCAACCACTCTCGGAATGGCAGCTACGGAGAGAGCTCGCTGGAGGCCCACATCTGGCAGGAAGAGGAGGAGGTGGCACAAGCCAACAGGAGGTGTCAGGACATGGAGTACACGTAAGGGACAGCCACATGTGGTCGCTTGCCCCCAGGCCCTGAGGGGGTCCCGCCGGCCCATGTCTGCACTCACACTCCAGCCCTTCCAGAGAGGACTGCATCTCTGTCCTCCCTGAACGGCTGTGAGCTTGAAGTCTCCAAAAACTCTCCTCCCCACACTCAGCCATGGAGAAAAGGGAAAGGCTCAAAGCTAAGCAAGTGGCTCCACTCGGCAACAGGACTGCTGCCAGAGGTCTCTGGGGGAGACCGCATGTCGGACGCAGGTTTTAAGATGGAGGATGAGTCTATGACAGAAGAATTTAGATGCCCGTGTTATTTCTGGTGTCTGTTTCTACAACCTTCCAGACATTATGAGCTGGAAAGGAGAAACAGATCATATTCCAAGGTTCAGAGTTTTTAAACCAGGATTTATATATTCCAGCCAAAAATAAAGAACGTACTTAGCTAATGCACTCTTCTGATAGGCTGCACAAGATTTCCAGCAGGCTTTTTTAACGTGATAAAAGTAGCCTGTCTTCCTTGACCACTTGACGGCCTGGGAGCCCTGGGAGCCCTGAGCCTCTTGTTTTGCAGATGTGAAAACAGGGCTGCGTAACTGAGCCATGGACAGGCTCAGTGAGTTGCTGTCAGAGTTGCAAAAAGAACTCAGGTGTTTTCAGGTTCTCATTTTTGGCTATAGGAGGTGGGGTGGGGGAGGAATTATTTTCTTCCAGAGAACCTGCTCATCTTTTTGATTTTTTTCTTAGACAGTAGAGAAATTGGCTTTAGTTGAAAGCTCATCCTGTTTCCCTTTCACCCTCCTAATACTAGACCTTCTAAGTGTGGTCCCTGGGGCCACCTTGGTCCTGCAAGTCCTAGAAGATGGCCACGGTCATCCTAACTACCTCCCAGGAGTCCAGAGTCTCCTGAGGTGCCAGAGAAGGTGCACCCCTTTGATGTACTATGAAAGATCCATCTTAGGCAATTTGAAGATTATAAGTTCGAAGATTTGCAAGGCACTTGACCTTCTGACTTAACAATAAAGTCCTGGGTCAGCCCGGGAGAAATGTTTTGAGCTTTTCTAACCAAATGGATTTTTATTAAGTGTTTGGTTTGGTTTGGTTTGGTTTTACAGTATTAAAAATCTCCATGCCAAAATCATAGAGAAGGATGCCATGATCAAGGTCCTTCAGCAGCGATCCCGTAAAGATGCCGGGAAGACAGACACCTCAAGCCTGCGGCCTGCCCGCTCTGTCCCATCCATTGCGGCGGCCACTGGGACACACTCACGCCAGACCTCTCTTACCAGCAGCCAGTTGGCCGAAGAGAAAAAGGACGAGAAGACCTGGAAGGGGAGCATAGGTGAGCCCCACGCCCCATCAGACTAGTGTCTGAAATGCAAGGCCACACACCCTTTCTGCCACTCGTGGGACACAGAAATATCACTGAGTGTGTCCTCCTCTTGGTTTCCTCATCTGTAAAATGGAGAGGAAAGTCCATCACACTTCGGTTGTGGGAATTCACTGAGATATTGGAAACGCTGTGTAAATTCTAAAGGTTACACCACTGCAGTCACTGTTCGCTGTGGGGTGACTCATCCTAATTAGCATCTATTATTGTTGAAAGTCGAGGTGACCCTTATAACACAAAATGGTCTGATGGAAAAGCCTGGAGATATCAGGCCTCAGAACTTGGCTCTGCCCCAGGCCAGTTATATGCAGGCTCCACCTCTGCTTCCGTGTCTGGGAAAGGAGGACGATGTCTGTGGGCTGTACCCCGTGGGCCATGGGGGCCAAATGAGACAAAGGGGAGCGTGTTGGAAGAAGTGCTCTCTAGCAGAAGGGACGGTGGGGTGGGTTTTGCTGTGCTGGTCACACAGGCAGAGTTCTGAGGTGCAGTCTGCAAGTGTGGTCTTAGCCAGGAGTGGGCGTCCTGGGGCTGGGCGGGCTGAGCTGGAGAGGAAGCAGGCAGCGTTCCCACACACACGTCCTCCGCACCCTTCCCCTGCACTCGGCCCCTCTTTGATGCAGTTCCCCGGGTCAGCGTGTGTTTTTGTTTCTCTGGAACCGAGGGCCAGTTTTCCTCAGCACGGGAACCCAGAGGAGCCTGCCTGCTTTGCGCCAAAGGGGATAAGAGCTTCCATATGAACCCAAAAGAGCTGAGGGGATCAGAGGCTCCCAGCCGGAATCTCTGTTTGAAGTCCCTCCACTGGTGGCTTCAGCAGCCCCTGCCCTCAAAGGAAACGCACTTCAAAGAGGACATGCGTGGGCAGCAGCTGAGATCATCAAAGACCATCCTGAGGAGTTTAGCTCCCAGCCCAGTTAGAGAGCAGGGAGGCAGTGCTCAGATAGGCCTGGCTAAGGAGTTTAAAATTTTCCCAGCTCCGATGGAACCCTCCCTGGGAGAAGCCCATTTGCGACATCCAGCCAGGCAGGCGTCTCTCTGGTGTCTGCATCCGTATCCCCCAGGAGTCGGCATGTCTAAACCAGGCCTGGGAGCCTGAGGGCCGTGGTCTGGAGACAGATTGCTGAGTTCTCTGCGCTGGTACTCCTCCTCTACAGTAATTGGCGTCCACATGGCACAAACAGGGAGCAGCCGGGCAGCAGCGCACATTCATGGGCCGCTGTGCAGCTCCCCCTGTGTTCTCACTGAATCCTGCCTGACGGGCTCTGGCAGGACGTAGCGGTAACAGCGTGTACCTTCCTGATCGCCCAGGGGGTCCCAGGAGAGATGGCTGGCTAGCAGTGTATTCAACCTGTCACCCCCCTGAAGGACATCCTGCCAGACTCTGGAGTTTCAGCAGGTGGATAATGAAGAGGAAAGAACATAGGTTGGACTCCAAGTCAGGCACAGCTGCGTTTAAACCTATTTATGCTACTTGTTAGCTGTGAGATGTTAATCTCCGAGCCTCCGTTTCCTTGTCTGTGAGACGGAGGATAAGACGTACCTCTGAAGAATGCTGTGAAATATAACGTAAGATGATGTGCGAAGCACCTGGGCAAAGATTTTGTTCCCCACAGCGTGGTCCCTGGACCGGCAGGCAACATGGGCCTCACCTGGGAGCTTGTTAGAAAGGCAGAACCCCAGGCTCAACTCACTGAATCATGTCTTCCTTTTAAAAATGTAGCTGAGTAATTGGTATGCACGTTGCATTTTAAGAAGCACTGCTCTAGACAAACTGAAGCTTGCCCTGAGTTATGAGTGGGCACCTTGAAACAGCCCTGGTGAGGATGCTTCATGAATTGCTGGCTAGCTAACAAGATAAGCAAACAAATACTCGATTGTGCTTACCACCTCTCTGTAGGCTAGCATTCTGGAGCGCTAGCACCTCCCTGAATGTGTGCTGTACTTAAAAATAAAAAAGCCACTGTCCTGTCTGGCTTCGCAGGAAGGCTTGGAGGAAAATGGACAGCCCGCACACCATGTAGTCCTTTTCCGTAGCTGGCACGCCCTCTTCTCTACCCCAGCCTTGCTACTCGTGCGGAAGAAGGGAAGGAGAGGGCTAAGCGGCCTTTCCCAGGAGCCCAGGTGGCTTCCTGTTTCTTGGGGGCTACAGATTTCCACTGCAAAGATCTCTTTTAGGGGCTAATATAAACAATCAAGTAGGTGCCCCTACCAGGAAGCGTATTTGTCTTTGACCCTGGGCCTGTGGAAGACCCTCTATTCATTACCAAGAGTGGGGTGGAATTATGGACTATTCAGAGGAGCAGCAGGCCAGTGGGAACATGTCTAGAACCAGGGAGGCCTTCTGGTTTTGCTTAAGCACACAGCCACTGCTGCAGGCCCGCCCTCCTGGGCCATGTTAGGGACAGCAAGTATGGTCTCTAGAAAGCCTTGCAGGAACTTCTCCACTCCTCCTGCTCTGGCTATGAGGCATCTCTTCTCTGTTCTTTCATACCACCCTGTGAATAATTTTATCCTACAGTTTATTGCATTGTATTACAGCCAGTTGACTTGACACCTTCTCCACCCTCCAAAAAAAAAAAAGAACCAAACTGATTTTTCAGGGAGAGGACTAGGTCTTTCATTTTTTTATCCTCTCATTGTTTGTCATTTTTATCAGGCATGTAATTAGTGCTTATTAAATGCTTGGGGAATGAAGCAATCCTCAGTCAAGAAGGAAATGGTCTCTAAGACTAGCTTTTTTAAAAAAGAATGTCATTGAAAAGCTGTCCTCTGCCCTCAGGGCTGCTGCTGGGGAAGGAACACCATGAGCACGCCTCTGCACCCCTGCTGCCACCTCCACCTGCCTCAGCACTGTCCCCTGCATCCTCCGCCATGGCGGCCAGCAGTGCCCACGCCAAGACAGGCAGCAAGGACAGCAGCACACAGACGGACAAAAGCGCGGAACTCTTCTGGCCCAGTGTGGCCTCCCTCCCCACCCGAGGCCGGCTGAGCACGGCCCCTTCCAACAGCCCTGTCCTGAAACACCCAGCGGCCAAAGGGACTGCGGAGAAACTGGGTATGTGGTCCCCACCTCCTTTACACCCCTGGAAATGATGGATCTGCCCGGCCTAAGAGAGAGGGGTGTTTGGTTGAGCTGCAGAGGGAATAGGAACACCGGTTAGCTCTCACTTTATAGGTTTAATGATTATGGTTATCCAAATGCACTTGGGCTGTGTGTGCTCTTTCTTATTATGGGAATTAAACATGCATAGACACCCTTCGTTTATTGCCATTTAAAATGAGTACATCACTTGAGTCTACCCTGGTAATGCATGCTTTATAACTAACCCTTTTCCAGAAGGGGTGAAAATGGACCCTCTGAGGGATGGCAGGGAATTAGTGCCTTCCAGTGTGTCTGGGAGCTGGTAGTAGACACCGGACATCACAGGCATCTGGCTCACAGATGCGGCTTCACGACACGGACTTGCCAAGGATTCGGGCCTCGGTGGAAGACGTCCTGATCGAAAGAGAAAGTGGACCTCACTGCAGAGTCCGTTAACCGGTGGAACAGCACGTGCGCCCAGACTAATCAGTTGTTTAAAATATTTAAGAGAAGGCAGCTTGGGAGATGTGAGCTTTGCAGTGAGTCCAGAAGTGTCCAGGGGAAAATAGTCTTGGCCTTGGACTGATCATAGTCACGGAGCCAGCCCTTTACAGGAGTTCTTTTGAGGAGGTGAGGGCTATTCAGGTCATAAGTTAACTGTTTCCTCCAAGGGGGATTTTTATTTTCACCCTTCAAAACAGACAAGTAAATACAGCGTTGTCAGTTTTTAGAGATGTAATTCTTAGGGTGCACTTTTCCAAGTAAGGCAGAGGACGTGCCTGGCTCGGAGTGCGCATGTGGCAGTTTTGAGTAGAGGGACAGTGGGCGTGAGGGGCTCCCACACAAAGGCCCAGTTTCATCGTCACCCACTTAATCCCCTTCAATCACCATCCTGGTTTTTGTCTGTGTCTGAATCCTGGGCCAGTCATTCTGTGTTTTCCCACTGTGGGCCAGATGATCTGGCCTTGTGAGAATCCTGGGTGAGTGGTGGGTTTGAAATGGGTCCGTTATAGAGAGAGCTTGTCAAGCCCACAACCCTCCTAAAGAATGGGCCGCTCATGTTTCCTCTTTGTCTGGCAGAGAACTCTCCTGGCCACGGGAAGTCACCTGATCACAGAGGCCGCGTCAGCAGCTTGCTGCACAAGCCTGAGTTCCCGGATGGAGAGATGATGGAAGTTCTCATCTAACGCCGCCATCCCTGTGGAACTTCACAACAGAACATCGACAAACAAGGAAAGTGGCAGAGAGGGAGAAGAAAGATCGAGAAGGTTGTGGATGAGAAATCAGGAATGATTTGAAATGATAAAGATTTCAGATTAGTAAGAACACTTTTTATAAATGTTAAAAACAAAAACAGGAGACCTACATGACTGAAGACGGAAGAGAATGCTATGGATTTTTATTACATATGGCGGGAGAGAGAAGACACATGTAGGTTTGGAAACAAAGTTAAGAAGAAATAGGAAATGTAATTTTTCATTGTACAGAAATGTATCTCTTGGGGAGGTTCTGTGTACCCCCATTCTCTGGTTATAAACAGATAAATCCAAACACGGATCTTCCTTGAAATACTCCCATTCTCCTTGCCTCTTAGCATGTTTGCTTTAAGAAGAACCTCCTAGAAATCTTTAGAGCCTATCTTGGCATAATGCAATATAACATGTGCCATCCGTGGGGTGTCCTATAAGTGTGTGTGGGTGTGGCAGTGAGAAGAAACGTCCAGGGGTGATGGGGAATTTGAAAGGTGGCCTTCACCTGATTACCTGTTTGGATTTTCAGGAGATTATGGGGCTTCTTAGCATTTCTGGATTCTGCAGTACTTTCTAAGCAGGATGGAAGCATTATGATCTTAGCCATTATCCTCCCTGACTTCTCTGAGTTCATCTCTGTCTTTACTTTATTCTCTTTAATTTTACTTTTTTTGTTCCTTCTATTTATTTCTTTTTAATAGACATGGCAGCCTTCCTTAGGTGTGGGATTTATGAGAGCATTATCTGAACTGTCAGTGTTCCTGCTGTGTTTATAGTGCCCGGTAGGACAAAGCCACACGCTGGCTTCCTGGCCACTTCTTCCACCTTTGCATAGTTGGGCCGCAGCTGTTAATCTCATTCTGACTGTGAACCTGGTAAGCTTTCAGGATAAGCTTTGAGGAGGCAGGAGATTCCATGGGTCACTGTGACATCTTGCATTAAGATCATGGTACTGGTTTTTTTCTGTCTCATATCAGCTTTCTTGCAAGGAGCTTGATATTTCCACCCCATGGCTCTGTTGGGGAGGATTTTCAGGACACCACTCCAGGAGACAGATGACAGTTTACAATTATCTTGGTGGCATCCAGCATCTCACCAGGCACCCTTGTACCACTTTTTTGTCTTGTGGCTCACAAGCATATTGGCCACTCCTCCCGCCCCCTTGCACTCCTCTGGTTACTGCTGCTGAGCGTGTAGGCTTTCTGACATCAGTGTGTCTCTGCCGTGAACTTGCTTTGTAACCTAACAGGCTGGTATATATACAATGTGGTCAGGTTTTTCAAGATTTCAGTTCTGGTGCAACTTACACAACAAAGTGAGGCAGAAATGCCATGGAAAAGAGCCAGGAGTGAGTTAGGTAGTGGGCCCCTTGTACCTTTGCTGTGACATTTCACATACAACTCTTCAGATGTTGGTTTCCTTTACAAAGATGTGTTGGATTAGAAAAGAAAAGCTACTCAGGCTGTCAGATAGATGCCTCTACAGGGCCCTGATATTTTTCTCCCACCAGGTCAGCTGGGTCTGTGTATCTGTGTTTTCCCTTTCCTCGTGCTTTCTTAGGGGAAGAAAAAAAAAGCCCCAGGTCTGAAACTTTTTCAAGTACCTCCTAAGTGCAACTCTGAAGACAACACCCCTTGGGAAACTTTGCTCAGGTAGCTTATTTTAGGACTGGTTTTGGAGTGAAACCTGAGCAGTTATAGCCTCCCCAGATTGAGGTGATAGAGGGAGGACAAGAGGTGTAGGCTGGAGAAGGGAGGAGGAAATCGGAGGCTTTGGCCAGACAGGCCTCTGAGCCATCCGATGTGGCAGAGTCAGCGGGACTGACCCTCTCCAGCTCTGTGCTTTGTGCCGCCTCCTCCAATCTCACGTGCATCAAAGTAGTGCTGCGCAGACTGGGAAACTGAGGCGGCTCCGAGGGGCGGAGCGATGAGCTTGCCCCACGCCCTGGGGTGTGGGAAGAGGGCACGGAAAGGCCTTGTCAGTAGGGAGGGTTGAGTGCGGATGTGGGTGCGGAGATGGCAGAGGGGTCCCATCCCAACCTCTGCTCCCCATCACTTGTCATGGGGATAAGGTTCAGGTGATGGCAATCAACTCTCAAGCACATTTTGAACCCAATTTATATTGGGGATGGACTAGAAAGGAAAGTGTCTAGAGACAGAAAGGTAGGTCAACTCCGCCAGCCCCCACTGCCACGTCTGGGCCACCCCAAACTTCGGCTGTCTCCCCAGACATGGGTAAGAGCAAGAGCCCCAGCCAGCTTCTCCTGAAGTCTGGTCTTCATGCCCCAGACTCCTCCTGGGCACAGTCAGGCACCTGCTCACGTGCTCTTCTCAGCCCTCCAGAACTGCCAAGTGTTTCAATTGTCAGAATACAGACGGGCACGTCACCATTTTTCGGGGCCTCAACTGTGCTGTGCTGTGGGCTTTTGTCAATATTGTGTTCTCCTGACCTACCAAGACTCTTCTTTGAGAAAGGGATCTATAGCTTTAAAATGTCTTCCCTTAACGGGAGATTTCCTGCCAAGCCAGGGCCCTCAACACTCACCGTCAGAGCTTTCCTGAAGCGCAGCTTATACGTAGGAAGAAGGGACTGCTTATACATAGTGCCCGCTCTGAGTTCTGGGCAGTTTATAATACCTTACCACATTTGATTTTCAGAAAAATAATGCTAGCTATATTTCTTAGTGCCAACTGTATGTGAACACTGTGGTAATAGCCTCTTATTTTAATTAGTCCTCAAGCCACCTGGGGTGTGGGGGGCAAACTGGGGCTCAGGGAGGGTAAGTCCCTTCCTGAAGCCTCACAGCCAGGAGAAGCTGGGAATTAATACAAGGGTTTGGAAGGGGAGTTGGGCCAGACCCTGGCTGTGCAGCCTCTAACACGAGGTGCCACATCCTGGCTCTCTCCGTCCCCCATCTGTGATGTGTGTGTGCACACGCACATGCACACGTGCGTTCACACATGCACACACACAGCTGTCACACCTCTTAGGGCCTAAGAAATAGGACTAACCCCAGAACTCCTAGAGTTGCCTACAAACACCAGGCATAGATGGAAATTGTGTTCCATTATAAGCATGGCTACAAGATATACCTAAAAAATACCTCTGCATTCATTGTCCAGAGGCCTAGATTTCTTCAACCTTCCCAGTAGCTTCTGATCATGGAACTTGAGGGTCTTGGCTCAGGGGAGGAGTAGAGGCTTGGGTTTCCTGTGAAGGCATGCCAGGGTATCCTCGAAGGTGTTATCTGGCAGCTTCTGTGTACTGCCTGCGTATTAGATGGAATTTGAGAAGTTGGAGTCTAGTCTGATGCTAGAGTTTCACTCAGTAGATGGTTCTGTACAGAAGAACTACTACTGTCTGCAGGTCCATATAGTTACGCTGCCAGGGAGAATCATTACTTTCCAAAATGTTCAGAGCATGTGGAGGACACTTCCCTAGCATTCTCTTCTTTCAACATTTTTTCTGTTTCCCAGAGGCTGGCAGCCGGTGACAGTATGGAGTTGAGCGTGTTATAACCGAGCATGCAGGGCAGGGCTTTGGTTGGGAGGGCCGGGAGTGATGGGGCCCTTCTGGCTTTAGTCCTGCATGGCTTGCTTTTTGGAACTCACGTAGGACCTTGACTTCAGGAGGCTTGGAGACAGTTGCATCAAATGAGTTCTGAATTTGGAACAGAAAATTCAGTGGTTCTGTTGCTCAGGGAGGAGACTCTGAGAATGTCCCTTGCATCTCTGCCATCTCTACTGTCTTCCCAGCCAGTCATTACTCCTCCCTGTTCTCACCTGGGTTTGCATCCTCATCATGCAGTGGCTGAAACTCCTTCATGCCAAGTGCTGATGGAGTGGGAAATCCTCCCTCCCCAGCAGTCTCCCAGTCCCGGAGACTTATGTGAGCGCAGACATCAGGTGAGGCGGGGGACCTGGGGGACAGTGAAGAAGAGGTTGGGAGGTTGAAAGCTGTCAAGGCAGGGAGTTCACACTTAGGCTGCAGAGAGCTATGCTGAGCAAAGAGATGTGTTTTCCAAAACCAAAGTCTTGCTCCATGTCCACACCAGAGCAAGTGGAACATGTTTCTAGGTATTCTCTGAATAAATTTGCACTCTGAAGTAAGGGACTACCTTGGCCATAGTAAGTGGGGTCCCACAAATGTTCTTAAGTGGCAAAGGCTTTAAATAGCCAGAGAGTGTCCAGCCCATGGTTGACGTACCCATATCCCAAAACCGGAGGCTGCCATGGTACAGGCTTTATAAATGTTGGTTTTCTTTTCTTTTTGTTAATTAAGTAATGTATTTAAAATGTCTTCATTTGATGTGAGGATTGTTTAATGGGTTTGCTTCAGATGTGTGGTGCCATGGGAGACGGGCAGAGTAATTAAGTTACCAGAAGCAGGTCAGCTGGGAACATGCACAGGTTAGCATTTCAGTAAGCGAATTTCTTCTGGAATGAATGAGCAAGTTTTTTCTCTTTCTTTTAGGTAGTATACCCTTTTCCCATTTAGTAATTTAATGGCATATAAAGACGTGTATATGTAAGTGTATACATATATGAGGTATGACTAGAGGGTTGTGTGTGGGATTCTTTTCTTAATATACAGAAGATCCAAGTGTTTCATCTCCCCCCACCTTCCTTAAAAGGTGTCCCTTTGGGACATTACATACTGATTTACTGCAGTGCTGCCCGAGTGAAAATATTTTGGGAACTCCTCTATTAGAATGGCCTTCGATGCCTGGCACGTTGCTTTGATTCTCCTTAGAGATGAGAAATCTTCATCCTTTGAGGATGGATTTAAGTTCTGGAAATAATCTCAAGTTCTTTATAGCACACTTTGATGACAATTAAGGTAAGTTACACCATTTTTGGTTCTAAAAAAAAAAATTCCTAAGAAGTTTCTTGGAATGAGTGTTTGGACTCAGAGCCTCTCTGAGCGACCACTTCAAGGGAGGACAGTACTCATTAGTACATGGAACTCCTAGTGGATTCTTTTTCAAAAATCTGTTCTCTTGCCATGCCTCGTATGTGTCCACACCTCTGCATACACTACAGATGGAAGTGCGTATTCATTAGTATAAACATCTGGTAGGTATTCTGTAAAACCCTGTTATACTTAGGTGCATGTTATTGTCATGTTATGCTGTGACTGAGGTGTTCCTTTGCCATGAAACTTTGCTTCTTCACAGAATTGCAATACTGTTCTCTATATAATGAAGTGCATATACAGCATTTTCTCATGTCAGCTCCTGAAGTTCTGATGCCCAGTGTTGTGTTTACATGTGATTCTGCCTAGGATTCTGTTCACACCTAGACATCTGTAAGTATTTATTGCAAAAC